AAAAAATAATAATAAACTTAAAAAATTTAAAAAAAAGAAAATTAGTAACTGAGTCTTTTAAATCCCTCCTTAAATGACCTATATTTTCCCATGAAACAGTACAATCCAGTGCTATAATACTAAGCCATCATTTGATAACTGAACCTTAATTCTGGTAATTTATTATCCTCCTTGTAGTAAATGGATTTTTAGGGGTACCTGGCTGACTCAGTTGGAAGAGCATGAGACTCTTGATCTCAGGGTCATGAGTTCAAGCTCCATGTTGGGAGCAGAGATTAAATAAATGATACTTAAAAATAAATAAATAATAGGGGCGCCTGGGTGGCTCAGTTAGTTGAGCGTCCGACTTTGGCTCAGGTCATGATCTCATAGTTTGTGAGTTCGAGCCCCACATTAGGTTCCGTGCTAACAGCTCAGAGCCAGGAGCCTGCTTCGGATTCTGTGTCTCCCTCTCTCTCTGCCCCTCCCCCACTCAAGCTCTGTCTCTCTCTCTCTCTCTGTCAAAAATAAATAAACATTAAAAAAATTTTAATAAATAAATAATAAAATAAAAATAAATTCATTTTTCATAAAGAAAATTGAGCATTTTTCCACTTGAGTTGTACTTCCTTTCACTCTAAGTTACAAAGCTCTAAAAGGGACATAACCAAGACCTTGATAGGCAGTGAAAAGACAGAAATAGATACTAAACACTTCTCTGCTGAGAAAGCATTCACCTCTCACCATGAGCACAGTGACTTCACACTTATCCCCACTCTGGCCAGCTGTGAAGCTTCAACCCTTCCCCTGGCCACTTTGCTTCTCACACTACTCTCACTTTCCACTTTATTATATTAGTATCATCTCTTTGGAGTTGCTATTACATTTTAGGAGTTGAAATTCAAGAATGAGGCTCATGTCTTTTCTGAAAATGTTCCAAGCTTCCTGTCCTGCTCTGCTGCATTATACAATGTTACTCTGCCAAATACTTAGCTCATTTCCTTCTCCTGCTTGTCCTGATATGGTGGTACACATCAATAATGCCCTCCCCTTCACATTTTCAGACTTTACTGTCTGCTTGTAATGCCCTATCTTCCTCGTCCATCTATGAGGGTGTATCATGCATGTTATGCAAAGGGTCTTTACTGACAATACCTGTACCCAGCCATCCATCAACTCTCACAAGTTGTACCTCCCTCTAGTAGAGCGCTTAATGTATTTCATCAATTGTAAGACATACTTTCCCCTCCACATTTCTCTGAAAATAGGATATATCTTACAACTGATAGCATGCCAGTCTTTCTTAACATTTCTTCTTTCTTCCTTGCATGTAAAGTAATTGTGAGCCTTACAATCATTAGCAACACAGAGCTGATGAAATAAAGTATTACATTCTATAATAATTACTTTGTATACATCTGTTTCCTAGGCCAAACTGTGAACTGAGAGGGTCGGGGCTATATGACAAACATCTTTGACCAGCATAGATTTGAGCACAAAAAGAGGGTGCATCCAACAAACACTAGTTGGATAGTTATTTATTTAGCATTTGCTAAGTATTAAGTAGTATTGTAAACATTTTACATGTATTAAGCACATTTAACCCTCACAACAACCTGTGCAGGAAGTACAGTTATTATAGATGAAGAAACTGAGGTAAAGAAACATAGGGAAGCTCATTCAAAGATACACAAAGTTCCAGAAGATCTGAACTCATCTTTGCTGATTATGTTTTATATTGTTTATCATTTTTCCATTCAGCAAATATTTAACAAGCAATTACTCCAGGCCAACTATGTACTGTGCTAAACACAGGTAAGCAAAACCTGGCCTCTGGAGGCTACTCTGAATCATATATCCATTCTTGAATCCTTTACCCTCCAAACATCAGAACAACCTACAAATTCACTAAGTTACATCTGCTCTTCTCTTTTACTTTTCAACATCTTCCCATATAGCCCTTTTTTAAAGTTTTTAGCACTCTATCAAGAACCAAAGGACAAAAAAACAAAAACATAAACAACAAAAACCTTTGTACTCAATTATTAGCAGCTGTGAAAAGATCACAAAAGACTTCAGTTAAGGAATGGGTGGCAAGATCCAAAGGGTTCTAAAGGAACAAAGGTTCTGTTCATAAGCAAATATTCAAAGAAAAAAAGGTAAAAACACATAATTTTGTTTTTATTTTTTATTATTTTTTTAACACCATATGTTGTCTTTAAGTAGACTGTTTTAAAATGTTTTCCCTGAGGGCACCTGGATGGCTCAGTCGGTTGGGCGTCTGACTCCTGATTTTGGCTCAGGTCATGACCTCAGGTTCGTGGCTTCAAGTCCTGCATCTGGCTCTGTGCTGCCTGCTTGGGACTCCCTCTCCCCACCACCACCCCCCCACCCCACACACACACAAATAAATAAACTTAAAAAAAAAAAAAAGTTTTCCTCTGAAGCAGAAGATACTTTATAAAAAATTATTCATTTTATCATAATAAAAATGAGCTAGTAACCTTTAATTCCTTTTTTTTTTTCTTAGCCCTTGCTGTGTCAGAGATTCATGAGTAGTCCTTACATCCCCACTTTAGATAGACTGCTCCCACAACAGGTAATCAAGGCACTGACCACGCCGTCTCTCCCAAGGGAAGACTCTCCATTTGGTAAGTCATCTACCACATAAAAATAACCACAAATAGGAAAAAGAATAGAGAGGACAGGAAATTCTCATCACAACTGAACAAGCTTCTATCATTTTAACATGACATGAATGGCATTAGGGACTCATTTGAACCAATGGAAATTTTCAGTAGAGGGAAAAACACATTACAAAATTAAAAATAAATGTCCAATTATTAAAATAAAATAGGACAACTAAGCCAGCTCTACTTTTATACCTCTACTTCAGGTTCCATCTGGTGACCAAAGACAAAATAAATTTGTATTCTGTAAATGCCCTATGACAACAGTAACAAGCGCTTTCTTTCAAAACTATCCTCTAAAAAAAAACAATCGTTGGAGGCACCTGGGTGGCTCAGTGAGTTAAGTGTCCAACTTTGGCTCAGGTTATGATCTCACAGTCCGTGGATTCGAGCCCCACATAGGGCTCCGTACCGACAGCTCGGAGCCTGGAGCCTGCTTCAGATTTTGTGTCTCCTTCTCTCTCTGCCCCTCGCCCACTTGTGCTCTATGTCTCTCAAAAATAAATAAATGTAATAAAAAAATAAACATTAAAAATTAAAAAAAAAAAGAACAATTGGGGTTATGGGCAGTTATTGGGAGAGCCAAGGAACTAGAGCAAAAAATTAAAAATGATATATCACTGTATATTTCCAAGAAAAAGAGGTAAAGCACATTTTACCAGATGGAGAAGTTAAAGACAACTAGGGTTCATTTCCCCCATTCCTATAAAATAATTCACTGTTCTTATCTGTGAATCTTCAAGGACCTAGTACAGCCACTCCCTACCTTTGCTCAGATGAAAGACAAATCACTCACTAATTTCCAAAAGGCCTCGCTATTTCAAGCTCTTCATCTTTAGGGCCAGCAAAGCTGAAGCATCCATCTCATTCTGTCCTTTTGAAAGAAGTTTCACCTCTTTCAAAAGCTGTGGCTAGAAAGCCATTTTCTCTCTCTAGAAGCACACAGTTTAACTCTGTCCTCTGCTTTGTCTACCCTAAATAACAAGAACAACAACAAAGCCTCAGGAGTGCTCCTTCAGCCTCTCAGAAAAGAACCAGCCACCTCTTGGACAGCTGCTTCTGTCTTTCTCTCAGAGACACTCCACCCTGGAGGTTCCACAGGCAGCATAACAAAAAGTGGAGCTGGAAAGCTGCTGTATGCTTATCTGACCTCCAAAACAAAACGGAGACACAGCCCTTGGGGCAACCAGAGACTCCCTTGCAAAAGAAAACTTTTATACAATTTAAAAATAGCAAATTGTATTTGCACACCCCTCTTTGTGCAGCCCTCCCAGCTTGTCTCAAACTAGTTTTCTCGACTCCTAATAAAGCACATTAGTACCAACTGTGTTACAAGACAAGGAACCTGAGTGAGCTATGTTCACAAAGCATTTAACAGATTGGCCCTCCATTCTCTTATTTCTTCCTTTTGAGTAAGGAGCTACACACCATTTGTAAAAATGCCCAAGAGTATGGTATTTTTCCTACACAAGTCTGATGGCTAATTAGTCACATCACAAACTGGTATTTTTGCACATGATCTACTGTGCCTACGTAAAACGCACATATGTGCCTATTGAGGTTTTACAAACAATATGCTTCGCCTTGACAAAGAAATCAATCACTCTACTAATAACGATAAGGTCTAAAATCCAGCAATATTGTTGGTGACAATAGTACCATCGGTATAGTACCTACAATTTACAATTTTCATACACAATTTCAATCACGTACATTGATGCTTGCAATAGCCCACCGAAGCACTACATCTTTCAGAGGTTCAGAAAGGTTAAGTAGGACCTGCCCAAGGTTATCTATCAGCTTTATCAATGGTGGACGTGGTTTCGAACCTGTCAGACTCTAAGCCCCTAGCTTTCTTCCCTAGACCCCTCCCAGCTTTAAACAGAGGGCTCCTGACTCCCATCCTCCGCCCAGAAAAGCCCATGACTCTAGGCGACCAGCCTTCCCTGCCTGGATCAGAGTTAGCTTCTTCAGCTCCAGCAAGGCTTTCATCCTCCACCACCCTCCCCCCGCGACCATTCTCTGAAAGAAGCGGAAAGGGAGAGGCGACCGAAAGCTCCTGGGGGAAGGGACGATGACAAACGGGGAAGCGCGGGACACTGCCCCTGCCGTGGGCTCCTTCACTCTGCCGCACTCACCTCCTTCCCTCCGCCAAGCGGTCCAGCCCTGGCGCTGGCGATCCGGCCACCTATGCCCCAAATTCTCCCATCATCACCTCAAACTGTCCCTCCCCCACGCCCCTTCGCCTCCGGCAGGCAGAGCCCACCCCCCACCCCCCTACCAAGTCGAGGTATCCCTCCACCAAGCCACCCCTCTTCCACCATCACTCACTGTCGGTGACTGGGCCCGGCCCTCATGGCTGCTCCGTTGCTGCCCGCCGCCGCCACCGATACTCCACGCCCCGGCCCCTCAGTAGCCGCCGCCGCCGTCGGGACTAGCCGGGAGCCGCTCTTGCGCATGCGCAGCCTGGATTACCGGGGCCCTCTATGGACGCCCGCGCATGCGTAGCCGGAGCCGAGGCGTCTTCTTCAGTGCCTGATGCTCTGCACCCCTGAGTCTCAGGTGGACATGGCCGCTGGCCTCGAGGACCGATTAGGCTTTCAGGCTTCGATGGCCGCCCTTAGGTCCAAGGCCTCTGGGTTACTTTGCCTAGGGTTACTAAACGCTTGGACCTCGATCATAGACTTAATGACACTTCCAGGATTCTGGATCCTACTTGCACTTAAAGGCCCGAATGCAGGTGCTCTGAGGTGACTGATAATGAACTTGGATCTCTTTCAAAAAGACGATCACATCTAGAATACATTGGAGGTAATTGTGTAAGAGGTAATTTTGACATCCCAGAATACACTACTGGCCAGGAGGTGCTCAGAAGGCCCTGGGGATCTTGTCAAGGCGGCACTTAAACTTCTTTGGGACACTGCAAAGTTCAGTCTGTTTATCAAGGGCATACTGTTTATTGGACAGAAATGTTCTGGGCATCTCATATGTGCCATCGAGGAACTTGCAGGCCTATAGTTTCTTACTTTACAGCTCTCACTACAGAGCCTGGCCCTTTTGCAAACTGGTAAACAAAAACTAGACCTTTAGCCCATGGAGACCCAACCATCAGCCCCTAGACCACTGTGCTGCCTTGGCATAGTGGAACAAGAAACTAGGTTAGGGGCGCCTGGGTGGCTCAGTCCTTAAGCGCTGGACTCTTGATCTCAGCTCTGGTCATGATCTCACTATTCATGAGTTCGAGCCCAGCGCGGGCTCCTTGCTGACAGCTTGCTTGGGATTCTCTCTCTGGCCCTCTGCTGCGCTCGCTGTCTCTCTCTCAAAATAAATAAGCAAACCTAAAAAGAAAAAAAAAAATACTAGGCTCAGTTGAGTCTTGGAAATTCAGCAATACAGATTTGACAGCTGAGGGCAATGCACTGCAGTAGAAGGGAAGAGGAGATACAGAACTAAACTCTCTCCTTATCACCATGACCCTCATCCCACCTCTAGCCCAGTCTTACCTCTATAGCCCAGAGTTTGCAGAGATAGGGACCAAGATATAATGTCAGGCAAAAAAAAATCAAGGAAGAGAAGGGGGTTGGAGGAGGAAAGCAGTTCCATTCTTTCTGTGAAAGGCGTTAAATTCTCTGTACTTCTGGAGAAAGAAAAGCTACTCCTGATCCCAGGATCTGATATGAATATTTAAAGTCCTAATCTAAGACTAAGGAAATTTTTTCCTTCTTTGGAAAGAAGCAAGAATAGGCCCTAGAGTAAAGTTTGAGAATGCTGAAACTGGAGTGTCACTAATATTTCTAATTACAGATTACTAATTTAAAATGCATATAATGGAATGCTCAAGTCACTAAGAAATGAGGTTACTCGCTCTAGCACCTAGGAGTTTGAGGATTTTTTTCTCATCAGATGCATGTAACTTTTACGTACATACCTATATGTTGCTGTGGGAAAAGTATATAGATTAGCGTAATCTGTCCCTAGAAAAGCAGATCTACACAAAAGTGCATGCCTCGTGTGTGAACTGCCTCCCATCTCTCGACCTACATACAGTAAAATGTAACTGGTGACAAGAGTAGGGTGGTGGGGCCCAGGACTAATTCCAGAGGCTAGCTCCTAACTTAGAATAGTTGTCATTACTTGCAAAAATATTACCCTTTGGAATGAGCACATTTGGCACCATGGGGGAATTGCAGAGCCAGAAAAGAGGAAGAATTAATATTGACACTATGTTCTGATGAATGGAATACTAAAAAGAAGGCCAAAGCTGACCCTGAATCTTCTGGGAACTGGACTTTCCTAACTCTATCACCACAGTCAGTCTCCTGCTGGAATCTTTGTCCTCATAGAGCTTAGAGTCTAGTAGGGGACATATAATAAAAACATCAAATACTTGAATAACATTTACTATGTGCCAAGCACTGTTCCAAGTCCTTTATACATGTGAATTCTTTTAATCATCACAACAACCCTATGAGGGTACTATGATTATCCCCATTTTATAGATGAGGAAACTGAAGAAGAGAGAAGTTACCTACCTTGGGGCATTGCCCTGGGGCACACAGTAAATAATGGACCTGAGAATCAAACCCAGAAATACAATCTTTGTGCTCACTCTATTATAAACTGCCTTATCACAGGAGGGGAAAAAAAGGGTCCTAAAAGAGAATTTAACCAATCATGGAAGGAACAGCCTCTGGGGAGACCTGGAAGTGAGAAAGACTACCAGGCAATTGGGGGACTGGAAATTTTTCAGTTGAGCTGAAAAAGAGGAACGACAAGAGACGAGACTGGTGGAGGCGCTTGGCTGGCTCAGTTGGAAGAGTGTGTAGCTCTTGCTCTAAGGGTTGTGAGTTCAAGCTCCACGATGGGTGTAGGGATTACTAAAAAAATAAACTTTAAAAGAGAGAAAGTGAGAGATGAGATCAGCAAAGTCAGTTACGGCCAAGTTAGTTTGTACTTTATTCTGAGGGCAGTGAAGCAAAGGAGTGACTTGTTCAGATTGGGGCCATGAGAGGTTGGTGAGACTGTGAAGACTCTTAATGAGGCTCATAGAGCATTTCAGGCTTTGAAACAGGATCGTTGCAGGTAGTGATAAATACTATGAGGAGGTGACATTTGAGACCTCAATAGGGGGCAGAAGCCAAATCTAGAAGAACAGAGAAGGCAGGAGTAGCAGATGTAAAGGCCCTGAGGCAGAAATGAGCTTGGTATATTCAAAAGATGGAAAGAAAGCTAATGTGCTGGCAGCCTTGAGAGTAGAAGCAGGTCTCAATGTATGCAAGGACACTGGATGAATCTAGTTGTAATAGGAAGCCATTGAGGGGTTTTAATCACATCCTTCAATTGCTATCTCCTTAAATCTCTAAAATCCATCTGTGTCTCTCCACCATCTTCACTGTATTATCTTAGTGAGAAACACACAATGACACCTAGTTAGAAAAGGACTTCCAGGGGCGCCGGGGTGGCGCAGTCGGTTAAGCGTCCAACTTCAGCCAGGTCACGATCTCGCGGTCTGGGAGTTCGAGCCCCGCGTCAGGCTCTGGGCTGATGGCTCAGAGCCTGGAGCCTGTTTCCGATTCTGTGTCTCCCTCTCTCTCTGCCCCTCCCCCGTTCATGCTCTGTCTCTCTCTGTCCCAAAAATAAATAAACGTTGGAAAAAAAATTAAAAAAAAAAAAAAGAGAATAATTCATGTAACAAGGTGCCGGAAGGGGTAAAACAATTAGCCTTAAGATAAGGACATTTATTGAGAGCCTACCCTTTTCTAAATCCTACATTGTTCCAAATCCTAGATTCAAATGAACACATGATATTAGGAAGATGTGTTTGTTATTATTTTCTTCATTGTACAGATGATGAAACTGATGCTTGGAGAGTTGAAATAACTTGTCCAAATTCATACAGCTGATAAGTGGCAAGCTGACATATGAACCTAGGCAGTCTGTTTCATCTGATTAACCTCTCTCCTAATCTCACAAAATACAAAATTCCCCCGCAATATCCTTTGAGGGAAAATCTCTGGGAAAGAAGAGAATTAATAAGGCACTTTGACTGACATATTTCCTCTATGTTTTCATGATAGCCCAGGGATTCTTTCAAGGTGTTACCTGTTGCCAGTGCTGTAGTACTTAGTATGTGTTCTTTGGGTGATTTTGCATTTATTTAATTAAACTCTTCAACCACTGCTTAACCTGAAGTTGCCCTTCACCCTAATTACAGTTGAAATGGCATTTCACCTTATTGTTGATGAAAAAATATTCATATTTTTCTGATTGCCAGCTGTCCTATATTTAGTGATATTTTGTTCTTTGGGCATATGGGTGCCCAAAGAACATCCAGAATATCGTGTTCCAGAAAGGTTATTTCTTCCACTAACAGAGCAGGCAGCCTGAAAGCTGGAGCCTGGCGCTATTTGCAAACCATCAGTGCTTTTGGCTGCCCAGTCTCTGTCAATCCTGTGTCACTCAGGGCTTCTCTGGACACTCCACTGCCATTCCCAAAAGAGCAGCCCAGTCATCTGGTTTCCACCATCCTCCCAACAATCCTCTCCTTTCTGTCTTATATCATCAATTTTCTCCTCTCTACCTTGTCAATGCCATGAGCAAACAAAAAATCTCTGATCTTAAAAAAGAAAAGCCTTAGAGGTGCCTGGGTGGCTCAGTCCGTTAAGCATCTGACTTCCCCTCAGGTCATGATCTCACGGTTTGTGGATTCGAGCCCTGCAGGGGCAGGCAGGCAGGCAGGCAGTTGGGCTCTGTGCTGACAGCTCAGAGCCTGGAGCCTGCTTCGGATTCTGTGTCTCCCTCTCTCTCTGCTCTCTCCCTGTTCATGCTCTGTCTCTCAAAAATGAACAAATGTTAAAAAAAAATTGTTTAAAAAAAAAAGCCTTTAACTCCACTTCTCTCTCCCCCCTTTCTATTACCATTCCCTTTTGCTCTGCTCCCTCAGAAAGATCTTATATCTTTTTTTTTAAAGCTCTACAGCCTGGGGTGCCTGGGTGGCTCAGTCAGTTAAGCATCCATTAACCCTCAGGAAGCTTGATTTCAGCTTAGGTCATGATCTCACAATTTGTGAGTTCGAGCACCGCATCAGGCTCTGCACGGACAACATGGAGCCTGCTTAGGATTCTCGCTCCCCACCCCTCTTTACCCTTCCCTCACTCTTGCTTACATACACTCTCTCTCTCTCTCAAAATAGTAAATAAATAAACATTAAAAAAATAAATAAAACTCTGGCCCAACCCAACCTGGGGTTCAAACTCACAAGCCTGATACCAAGAGCCACACACTCTACTTACTAAGCCAGCCAGGGGCCCCCACCTCTCATTCTCTCTTCAATACACTCTATTTAGGTTTTCACCCAGACCACGATACTAGACAGTTCCTGTCAGGTCACTAACAAATGTCTCTCTCTCTCTCCCTCACCACCCTCCCACCACAGTCCCCAGGACACAAGTCCTGTGATAAGAAGCTTTTGTCCATTTTCTTCATTCATGTATCCCCAGCACCTGGACATGGCCTGTACATAGCATATGCTGAGTAAATCCCCATTCCCCCAATCCCCGCCAACATCTCTCTCTCTCTCTCTCTCTCTCTCTTCAATTTCAAGAGTTTAATCCAGAGGCTTCAAAGGATGAATAAGGCTTAAGGCCACAAACAGCTAAGATATACCAAGTTTTGCAGGCCACTGAATCAATCTGGGGAATTGTAGGTGACTAAGCAGCTTCTCCCTTCACAGACCCTCTTTTTTCTCCAGAAAGGAATGGTCTCTGAGATGAGATGGTTATGGAGGTTTACAGAAGGGAAATCGCGTCTGCTGCTCCTCGGAAACACAGACCTACGGACTGACTACTCCTTGGGTGGCAGTGGAGGCCGCTGCCGACCGCTAGACCAAGCCAGGGGTGGCACTGGGAGAGGATCCTGCAAGCCTGAGGCTAGAGAAAACCAAAAAGGCCCTTAGGGGGACAGCGGAACAGCACCCGCTCCGACTTCCACGACCTTTCCTCCTTAGATGCGTCAGTTTCTCCAGCCGCGATAAGTTTTGCGCTAAGAGAAAGATTTCTGCCTCTAGGCCTCATGGGAGATGTAGTCGCCCAGGAGGCAGGGCTAGAAGAACCTTTTACAAAACTTTGGCAGGAGAGGAAGAAAGCAGCCTGTGTATAGGAGTCCAAAACAATCATCATGTTTACACAAACTCTAAATACAGATTTTCCTTAGCCTCGGTCAGTCTCCAAAGCAGTTTCTCCTTCATCCCACCTCCGGCATCCCGTGCGTCTCCGCTCTCTGGGCCAATCTAGCTCTCTCGTGCTCGCTTTTCCACTGCTCTATTCACTCTTAGGTGCGTTTCTGGCCAGTTCCCGGAGTGCCTTGCGGCTGTAATGGCTGCTCCCGGGCGGCGCGCTGCTATGTTCTTTCGGGCGGTGTTAGGGGTCCGGCAGTTGGGCCCAGACGCCGCGAGGGGGTGGGTGACCGGCCTCTCCTCGCTCTTGGACTGTCAGCGGAGGTGCGTGTCTTGTTTCGCGGGCGCCGCCTTCTCTGGTCCCCGTCTGGCCTCCGCCTCTCGCCGATATGGCCAGAGCTCAGCCTTGGACCGCTTCCTCGGACTCGCTCAGCCAGACAGTTCGTTGACTTCTCATCCTCCCGCCGTGTCCATACACAGAGGTAAAGGGCCCAGATAGATTGTCCCGGACTGTCACAGTTTTAGCATTTAAAGTTCCGAGTCAGGGAAACTCTCTGGGGATATCATCTTTGGTCTTATATTATGGAAAACGATCTCGAGGTCCCCAAAGAGAGGCGAGCCGTGAAGGATCTCACAGGAGAGAAATACCAGGTTCTAAAACTTTTGGAGCCAGAGGATCACAATCAGAGACGCTTACAAAAAGCAGGAGATTGAAGGGCCATGGGCAAAGCACAATTGTGGCTTTGGGATTTGGGAAGCAAACTCGATCCGATTAGTGCCCATCTACTTGTCAAGAGACTGAGTTACACCCAGGAAACAGCACTCTCTGATCTTCAAGTAGCATAGACTACAGTCTGGTGGGGAGTCTGGATACAAAAACTGGTAATTGTAATGCATAAGGGACTCCTACTTAGAAATACTGAGAAAGCTTGCAGAGCCTTCATAACACCCTTAATAAGGTGAGACTGTCAGAGCTGGAGGGATTTCTCGCTTTATCTGATCTAGATGTACTTTCATACATGTACATAGATTTACCTGGCACAACTACAGTACAGTTCCACACAGTAATTGAATATTAAGTGCCAGGCATTGTGCTGATTGTTTTTACACAATTGCCAAAAGAAGGTTATTTTTTTTTTTAAGTTTACTTATTTATTTTGAGAAAGAGGGAGACAGAAACCTAAGCAGGCTCCATGCCGTCCGTGCAGAGCCCGATGCTGGACTTGAACTCACGGACGGTGAGATCATGTCCTGAACCAAAATCAAGAGTCAGATGTTTAACTGACAGCCACCCAGGTGCCCCAAAGTTGTTTTTTTTTTTTTTTTTT